GGGAAGGCCGGCCCCCTGCAGGACAGCCAGCACGGCTGTGCCCTGGCGCGGAGCCACGGCGCGGGGAGGGCTGGCAGCGGTGCTGGGGTGGTGGGGCCTGTCCTTTCCCCTGTGTGTGGCAGTCGCACAAATGCAGTCCCAGGAGTGTTCTGTGCGCGGTGTCCCTGAGCTCCAGGCTCTGCTTTGCCACATCTGTGGCTGCAGCCTTTGCAGTGGGGGCCTGACTGTACAGTGCCCTGTGCAGAGCTCTGGTGGCTGGTGCCCGTGAAGGGTGAAGTCCCTCAGCAGGTGTGTGGAGGTGACATCTGTCTCCCTCTGCCAGGCTCGAGAGGAAGCTAGGAAGTTCCAGAAGGTGATTCTGACAGTGTCACCGAGGGGCATTTCACTGCAGGACGCAGAGACCAAAGAGCTGGTCGAGAACATCTCCATCTACAGGTGGGCAGGGGATCTCAGGGGACTGGGACATTTCCCAGCGGGCAGCTGTGGACTGGAGGGGTCTTGGGCATCCCAGGAGAACTGGAACTTCAGTCAGCAGTGCCACCCGCCTTGCGGCTCCCAAGGCCAATGCTTCCTCCCCTGCCATGCCTGGTGACATTGACTGGGGCTGAATGCAGCCGGGGCAGCCCTGTGCCCGTGTGTGTGTGTGTCTGCCTTCCCAGCGCTGCTGCGGCCCTGGGGTGTCCTCGGGGAGCAGGACGAGGCGCGGGATGAGGGTGCTCGTGGCGCTTGCCTGCAGGCGGTTGCTGGGAGGGCTGATGTGGGAGGACAGGGCTGCAGCTGGGCTGGGTGTCTGCGGAGGGTGTGTGGGAGCATGGGCACAGGCTAGGAGCTGCACGGGAAGCAGGTGCAGGGCATCTCCTTGGGGCACTGGAGCAGATGTGTAAGGGCAGACCCCCTGCTGCTTCCCCTTTCCTCCTGTCCTGGGAGGCAAGCACTGCCCAGGCAATCACCCGCCTTGCTGTGCTCCGTTGGTCTCTGTGCTTTAATTCCTACCTCTGCTTGAACTGGTCCTCCGATGTCCAAGGAGCCCGCTGGGCAATGCAGGAGGGAATACGGATGGTTGCAGGAATCCCAGAATGGCTGAGGTTGGAAGGGACCTCTAGAGATCATCCAGTCCAGCCCGCTGGGCCAGCAGGGACACCCAGAGCACAGGGCACAGGGTGGCATCCAGGCAGGATTGAAGATCTCCAGAGAAGGAGACGCTACAACCTCTCTGGGCAGCCTGTTCCATCTCTCAGCAGCTCTGGGGCTGGGCAGCCCTGTGTTTAGGGGAGGCAGATGAAAGCCTTGCTTGGTGCTCTGTTGGCTTCTCTACTCTCCTGAGCAGCTCTGCTCTGCCTGCAGGATCTCCTACTGCACAACAGACAAGCTGCAGAACAAGGTCTTCGCTTATGTTGCCCAGAGCCAAGAGAGCGGGGCCCTGGAGTGCCATGCCTTCCTCTCACCCAAGAAGAAGATTGTAAGCACTTCCCTCTGCTCTTGGCCCTGTGAGGTAATGGCTGGAGCAGGGCCCCTACTTGTCCCCTTCTGGGTGTGTGCTGCTGAGTGCTGCCAGCGTGACTCCTGCCTCCCTGTCCTCAGCTGGAAAGGGAGCTGGGGAGCACGTGTGTCCTCTGTAGGGGACACGGGCGGTGCGTGGTGTGGGAGGCTCCTCTGTCCTAGCTCCTTTGGCATGTCCTCCTGGGGGTTGGTCGGTAGAGCCCTGGCCTCTCCCGTGCTCCGCAGGGAAGGGCAGTGAGGCCTGGGTGACCCTAGATCTCGGGTGGGAAGGAAGGGCTGGCCTGGGGACACAGGTGATAGCAAGACCTTCTTTGTTGCCTTCAGGCCCAGGCGGTGACTCTGACTGTGGCTCAGGCCTTCCAGATGGCACTGGATCTCTGGGAAGCAGCACATACAGGTAGGAGGAATTTTTTGGCTGTCTCCCTCCGCCTAGGCCTGGGCTCAGTGTCTTCAGTGCAGGACCCTGCCTTGGAGGAGAGACGGCTGCTGCCTGGCTGGTGGGACGTACTGAGCAGGAAGAAGGGTGTCCTGGGGTCCCTGCTGCTGTGCATCCTGCTGCTGCCCCTGCGGCGCCTGCGCTCCCTCTGGTGCAGGGGTCCCTGCTGGACTCTGGCACTGCTGAGCTGCAGCCCAGCTCGGGCCCCGTGGGACCTGCCCTGAGCAGGGATCGCTCGGCCTGCTCGGCACCCTCCCAGAGCACAGCAGTAGCATCTGCCCTTGCCCTTGGTCCTGCCTGTGCATCTTCTGCTCTGCCTTTTCCAGGTCCACAGGCACTAACTCTGCTGCTTTTGCCCTGTCCCAGGCTCTAGGCAGGAACAGCCCCTTCACCCTCCATGTGCTTTGGAGAACAGTGAGCCCGGCAGAGCAAGTGAGCCAGCCCCCCCGGGGAGCCCTCCCTTCAGACACCACTTTGGGGTACAGTATGTGCAAGCCTGGCTCGTGCCCAGGGCTGTCTCACACTGGGGAAGGGACAGAGTAATCCCAGCACAGCCCCTTCTCCCTGCCTGCTGAGCCCCGTTGGTGTCTGCATGGCGTCCCTCTCCCGTGGGGGCCTGTTGTGGACAGGGGCCCTCCGTGCTCTGCCTGGCTCACTAGGCAGGAGCAGTTCCTCAGTGCTGCTTGCTCCAGGAGTCTCCGGTCAGGCCCAGCACTGCAGCAGCCCGCGGCCCTGCTCTGCTGGTGCTGCCGCAGTGGCAGCTGGGACCGGTTCTGCACTCTGGTGCCCTAGTTGAAGGTGAGGCAAAGTCTCCGAAGCAGAAGAGCCTGAGTCCCGTTGCCGTGTGGCTAATGTGGGCTGAACCTCAGCCCTGCCTGTCTGTGCTATGGACAGATGTCGCCGGGGCAGCGCAGTACTGCTGGGCCTTGTCCTCACTCTGTCCCTCTTGGCCTCGTGCTTCCAGCTGTGGCCAGACTGGCAGTGCTTGCCTTGGCCTTGCCTGCAGCCTGCTGCCGCATGGTCCTGGCCGTGCTGGACGCTCTGGCTGCAAGACGCACCCGCCGCTGAGCAAAGCCCCGTGGTGCACTGTGCACAGCAGCCGCCTGGCCTCTGCAGCCTCTGCCCCGCTCCCACCTTGGTCTGCAGCTCTGCTGGCTCCTCAGGTCATGGAGGCTCTTGCTCTGTCTCTTCCCCTGTCACTGTGTGCCAGAGCCCTGAGGGTTTTGGCAGCCCAGCCTTGCAAGTGCCCTCTCTGCCCCCTGCAGTAGACGTCTCCCGCCTGTCCCACGTCTGGCAGGCCACTGTGTCCTATAGAGGTGCCGGGGGCTGCCTTGCCGCCCCAGGCCAGGCTCTGAGCAGTCCCGCTTGGCTCCTGGCAGAGCTCTGCTCAGGCTGTGAAGCATGCGTTTTGGTTTTGGGAGAGGAAGAGGAGGAGGAGGAGGAGGAGGAAGATGACAACCTTGACGAAGCTTTATCTGGGTAGGTAGCAAGCTGCTCTTTGTGTCTGTGGACGCGTTAGGCTTATGATGTTGTGGCAGTTCTCTGCACACTGGCAGCCGGCGCCTCGTGAGGCTGTGGGCACAGCAGGACTGCCTGCCCTGAGCTGGCAGCAGCAGGGAGCTGGCACGTGTAGACAGGAGCGATGCATGCAGCGCCGTGACGGGGAGCCCTTCGCCCTGCAGCCTCCTCAAGGGGGAGGCGCTTGCCAGGCAGCCTGGCCTGGGAAGGGGGTTGAAGCACCTGGGTTGGGGCTTTTTGCAGCCAGTCGCGCAGAGCTCCTGGGCACAGGGCGGGAGCTGCAGGCCCAGGGCTCCGC